TGAGCGTTCTTGCTCATTTTGCCTCCGAGAAATGAGCAAAAACGGGACGGAAAACATGGAATTTTGGCAAAATCTTGAACCTAAGTGTCTGATATTCAAATTTCACTTTCTGGGCCAAAACTACTCGAATTTCCTCACTCACGTTGTTACGACTGAATCGACTTTTCAATTCTCTATCCAACGATGTCAAAACGAATTCTGTGGCTTGAATGGTTCTTGAGAAACTTCGAATAAAGACCATTTAGTTATCTCTGGAATGATGTAAAAACGAGCGTTCGTGCTCAATTTGCTTCCGAGGAACATGCAAAACGGGACGGAAAACATGAAATTTTGCAATAATCTTACGTCACCCTTGCACAAAATGACGATAACTTTTCCAGTAAAAGCTTCATTTATCAAGCAAAATGAGTCTAATCACTCACTCACTTGGTGTGAACACCTATAAAAAAACCAGAACTTTTTTATCTTAATTTTCATTAACTGAAAATTCTGCCTGAAACCATACGCGAACCAACACTGAAACAAAAAGAAATTTTCATTATTTACTGCTTTGGCCTTTGCAAGCAAAAACTCAATGGAATTGAATTATATAGAAAACGTAAAGTGAAAACATTAAAATTGCATTGAGCGCCCATGACCATTAAAAGCTAATGGATCGAGAGTTATGTGCTTTCAAGTGCTTGCTTTATGGCCGTTATGAAGAAAATACTGTTTAATTATAGTCCATATAGCCATAAATACTCGCAATTTTTTTTCGTTAAGTAGTTTCTGTACATGGTTTCACATCGAGGACGCAACCATAGTTGATAAGTTCCAGTAAAGCACGGAATATCTAGGGAAAAAGTCAAGCTAATTGGCTAAAGATCATGCCGCAAAAACGCACATTTAGAGGCGACTGGCAAACCTTTACATGTTCAAGGAAATCAACAACTCTTCTAAAAACCGCTCATCAAGAGGACACTTTTGTATCATTTGATCGGCAACACAGATGTGATTTCCTTCTTACGCAAATGTAGGCTTCGTTTGTCATATGCTTTACGCTGGTTGGATCTACATGTTAATTGAATTAAATCCCATTAAGTAACGGACGGAACTACATGAAATGGTCAATGCTAATAAATTCACATCCATCTGGAAAAAATCCTTTATGGGAAAACCTGCATGAATTAGCAATAATTACAAGGCTTTCTAATTGACGGGTTCCTGATATTTATGCTTCCATTCGCAAATCACCGGCATATTTTAATGCAAATATTTTTTAATAATCACTGTAAAGAGTTAAATCCGAGTAATTTACCGCACGTAGTGTTCATTTGGGGAATCGAATTTCAAAAGTACCTATACAGAATCCTATACAATACAGCGAAATATGCAGTAATTGAATAGTAAAATTAATTGTTGCGTGCAAATATATTAAAAGCAAGCAAACTGTTGGAAATATTTATGCGGTGAATGCAGCGATATTATAGAAAGGTATCTGGAAAACATGCAGCAAACTGGATATTTGATTTAAAATTAAATATCAAACAAACCGACGGTGCAATGTGATTGAATTTTAGCTATTCGCCCATCCAGCTTTAATTTAATTTAGTATTCAGGCAGCAAAAGCATCCAATAAAACATCGACCACATTTGATATTCCATTTACATCAAAAAGCCATAATATTTTCAGCTCTATAATATTGCGGCGATGGCCGTAGCATGACTGGCATTTATGGCCTCAAAAACATTGGTTCCCCGCAACCAATTCCATTAATAATATTATACAATGATTTTTCATTCAGAATGGCAATTTGTTATGCGTAATGCTTCATGCTTATAAAATACACCATCAATCGAAGTAGAATCCGAAGAATTAAGCCTGGGGTTTTAATGGCCCAGCATTAACGATATTGAATTTTCCGATTGGATTATGCACTGAACCAAAGACACTGCACGGTTCAATTGCTAGTGGCTGAAATATTTGTGTTTTATTTTCTACTGCATGTAGGTATTACAAAAACTCAAAAAGGGTTCATTTTAGACCATCTTCCAATAAACAGTTAGCAAAGGTTTGCGGGATCATAAATCATTTAATCGCCTAATTAATCGAATTATATCTGTTTCGATTTTCCAACGGTTTCAACCTTTCTAGACTTGGCCTGAAACGTGTGATCAGGGTACTTTTCATGGCCCTGATCTTTATCTCAGTGGTTTCTACTGACTTAAAACAATAATGATTCAGTCGAAAAAATGATCAATTAACGTAGTCAATTACCAGGAATCAGCTAATTGCTTTTGACATACTTTATAACACCTGGGTAAATTCCTGTTAATGTATTTATTACACCATGAAATAATTTAATGTTTTTCACCACGCTAATTGCATTCTGAAATTTATGATGTAATTTCCACTGGAAACTTTAAAACCCAAACACTAGATAAAATATTGATCATTAAGGCTACTCAGACGGGGAAAGATGATTAGAAAAGTGCCTTTAAAACAACAGCGTTTATTAGGCTAATTGAACGTAGCAAACAGGTGATAACCAGTCAAGGATTTAATAAAGT